CTGGAACCGGCACTGAGGAAGCGATCGGAAGTGATGATGGAGGTTGAATCGATATCTGCCAGTATCGTGTCAATGACAATGTCAACTGTAGGCCGGTCATGTAAGAGGCAAGGAGAAGCAGCTGTAATCCATCAGATGCACGTGGACGGAGTTGGAGGATGAATCACAGCAAATGACACCATCGCGCACCGGATTATGCCAGCAGCCATGCCGCTTTGGGGCTAGCTGCGGTGCGTGCACAGAGCACCAGGGACAAGGGCGACTTACCGCTTTCGAGATTGAATTGTCTGTAAGATATTGTCAAGTCAGATGCCTTTCGGGAGAGATGACTTGGGTAGACAACTGATGGTATTGAGAGAAGTGTTTAGAGAATGGATCTTGTCACTTGGGTTTACGAGACTGTGTGATTTATACCAGTGGAAAAGGCTCTAGGTATTTGACGGCCGAGGAGCTTTGTTGAAGATGAACAAGCGCATTGAAGAATATGAGACGATGCAAGGTGTTCTACGTGGGCACGTGCTCAGTCTGTTCATGGTCAACAAAGATTGAACAGACGGTATGAATATCACAGTACTGTATTAAACAGACAGATATTTTCAATTATAATTTTCCGTTGGCATTGGTAGAGAACCGAACGTTGTGTGGCGTATTTCTAGCAGCTTCGAGTATGAAGGCGCACCCGTTTATAATACAGGGCAGGTACAGGTACCTGATAGTCCAACCGAGTGGCGATTTAACTTTGTTTGCTGGTCAGGGGATTTTGGTCCAATCAATACCAGCAGTATATGTGTACTTTCATGTTGTGGGTAAAAACTCACATCTTGTCCAAGACTCTGATCCTGTTGAGTAAAGGAGTTCTCACTCTAATCTCTCTAATAAGCTGGAACGGCGACACGGAATGATATACGTGTTTCCTATCTTATCAGGAGGTGGCATCGCCCGCCACCTGCATGCATCAAGCACGTCACCGCGCGGCTGGCTTTAATTACACGGGCGACTCGTCTCTTGATTCGTGCGCTCTCTAGCAGATGCCAAATGAATACTACTATTGACACTTTGATCTGTGCGTGTTTACGTGTCGTGGGTTCGGTATCGTAACGCAAGATTGAGCCACCACGTGCTGCAGCATCAACACGTCAAACACTAGGTACCTTATTTCATATCTCACATTGAACTGGATAGTATCTCAATTTCAACAGAAAGGGTGAAATATTCACTTCATACATAGCGAGCTTTCTTTGTAAATTGGATATTGATAACGTCAGGGAGCGCTGCACTGTCAGCAACCCTTGCTGGAACTCCCTGGTCAGGGAAGCTGAGTTATTTGAAGGTCACCCATTGGTGTCCGTATGTACTCGGCTTTCACATGCACTTGCATCCATCGGTGACGCATCTGTTTCAGTACGATGCTGAAGGAATGTTCAAGCCTATATCATACGAAATGCCAACTGCGTCCTTGACTTTATTTGGCTGAGCTGGTCGGGAGAAGGTTACGAAGTCAGCTTATGGAAAACACGTCCAGTACGAGTTCACAACAAACATTGAGCCATCGCCCAAGGCCCCCGATGCGATCGGACATGTTCATGTTCGGGCATGTCAACATTGGAGCATACCCGCCTGTAGTGCGACTCCAGCAGCCCAGTGGAGGCCACTGAACGGCCTGACAGCGCTGCCGACTCCCCTGCAGATCCCCCGTGGCAGGCGGCCCTTCAGCGCCCTGCCGCCTGTAGCAGCTGGGCCGTCCAGCCCGACTCGCCAACCGCCAAAAACGCGCCAGAGAATCCCATTTACACGCTCCCGCGTCGTGAGACCGCGTCTCTCCACTTTGCGTCCATGTCCCTCGCCTCAGCCATTTTCGCTTATCCAAAAGCACGTCTCCGCTTATTGCCTCCAAAAGCTCTTCAACCTCCAGTCTCCCTTGCCATGATTCGACTCGCCTAGGCCCTCTTGCATCTCGTCATCGTCATCGTCGCCCGTCGCCCGTGTCCGTTGTGTCCGTCTTCCTCAGCCTTGGGACAAGGCATCCATCGCATCGCCATATCCGCCAGCAGCAACATGGTGCATTACCACTATGGCCCGTCTACCGCATCTGATGCCGTCCCCTCGAGCCCGCCCGCCAATGCCTCTTCTCCAGCCAGTTCCAGCATTCTGCTGTCGCCCATCAGGTCAACGCGGCGCAAGGAACGACGGAACCCGTCGGTGACGCCGCGCAGGTTTGGCCGCTTCTTTACGCCGCGGTCGTCTCTGCCCAGCGGACGCTCAGTCCTGGGCATGCTGGATGGCGCCTCTGTCAACAATCGCCAGCTGGCGTCACCCATGTCCTTTCTCAGCGACCCGCTGAGCTCGGATCCGTTATGTCCGCCCTCTCCCAGTGAGCGATTAGGCGTCAGCGGAGAGCACAAGAGGCTGATGGAGGAGATGCGGATGGAGGGCGTCAAGAGGAGGAGAATCGCAGGCGATTCGCTGTACGGTCCCCAGGGTCCAGTCAACGGCACCATCATAGAGGAGGATATGAGCATGACGGAGAGCCCATCCGGGGAAGGCGCCAAGCCAAAGGAGACTCTTGAAAGCTTGGGGGACAGGCGGAAAGCGACCTTGGTAAATCAAGATATATTGTTCAAGGGGGACCAAACGTCAGTTGCTAACAGTCTCTAAAGAATCTCTTCTTCAAGGCCAGCCGCAGTGGTTCCCGTGGGCAGGAAAAGTCGGGACTCACTCCACAGAGGCTATTTGCCGCCGACCCGCGAGCCCCCTTGGTATGCTCTCACCTCATAGTTTTCTTCCATGGATTGTTGCTGATTATCTTGCTACAGCAGCTGGAGGGATATCAGCCCAAACCCGTGCGCAAGTTCCGGGACCGTGGGTTTGAGTCTCACCTCCTTGACCGTGAGCATGGCTTCTCTTTACATCACGGCAGACAGCATCTGAGCCAGCCGGCTTGTGACCCGAGGATTGAGACGGCCTCGTTTTACAGCCGGAGCAACGATCTTCACCATTGCGTCTCCTCGGGCGGAGGCGGTAACACGATTCCCTTTAGTCTGGCCAGCTGCCACAAGGCTTCAGTTACAGCCATTGGTGATGAGCAGGGGTGCGTTCGTCTCTTCAACACCACCCTGAACGATGACTTGGACGACTCAAAAGTCGACGTGTACATCTCCGTTCACGACAACGCGATTATGGATCTGGCGTTCTCACAAGATGATATGCGCCTGGCAACGGCGTGCGGCGACCGAAGCGGCCGGATTCTCGACGTTCCTACGCAAACCGTTGCCGCCGAGCTTGGAGGAGGCCACTGGGACTCGCTGCGGCAGGTTGCATTTCAGCCTGGCGAGGCAGCCGGCAATGTCATTGCCTCGTCCGACCGGGCTGGTCGGATCCAGATCTGGGACCTGCGATGCTCCTCATCACCAGTCAACAACTTTTCATGCCCCAGCGGCATCGGCCAGCGCGACACCTCCCTCGAACCCCTTCAGGCAAAGGGCGTAAATACCATTGACAACGCCCACGAGCGCACGGTGCAGGGCAACACTTCATCAGCGTCTGTCACCGCTATTCATTGGATGCCACCGGGCCGCGAACACCTCCTGCTCTCTGCCTCCGAGGCCAATGCGTCCATCAAGCTCTGGGACACACGATATATCAAGCCTCGGCGGCAGGCCGAAGAGACGCCTCTCGCCGTGACTCAGGAGCCCCGAGGCCACACGTGGCGCTCCTACGGCATCACATCCCTGGCCCTCAGCTCCGACGCCGCCCGACTCTACGCCGTTTGTAAAGACAGCACCGTCTACGCCTACTCTACGAGCCACTTGATGCTGGGCCATGCGCCGGAGCTTGAGAACGGAGCAACCAAGCGCAGGCCCAACGGCGCCCACGGCCTGGGGCCCATGTACGGCTTCAAGCACGACCTCTTCCGCGCCCAGTCCTTTTATGTCAAGTGCGACATCCGCCCCAGTGTCAATGGCTCCTCGGAACTCCTCGCCGTGGGCAGCACCGACGGCTGCGCTCTCCTCTTCCCGACCGACGAACGATATATCCGCAGCGCCTGGGCCAAACGCTCGCACCTGACGGCCCCCGAACCCTCCTTTGCCACCCCGTCACAGAGCATCTCCACGCCGTCTGCCTTTGGATCGTCGGCCACGCCTCTGATCCCCATCTCGCGCCTCGGCACGCCCCTCATCCGTGGCCACAGCCGCGAAGTCACCACGCTCAGCTGGTCTCACGACGGGAAGCTCGTCACCGCCTCAGACGACTACATCGTTCGCCAGTGGCAGCAGGACGAAGCCCGGGCGCGGTACTTGCGGCAGGTGGGCGAGTTTGGGGGCGAGCGGCATCTGGCGGGCTGGGCTGATGTGGGAGATGATTGGGATACCCCTGACGATGACGACGAATAATCAGCAACATGGAAAAAAGAAAAAAAAAAAGAAAAAAGAAAAAAAAAGGAAGATGAAAAGAGAAAGAGGAGCAACAAGAGTCATGACGAATATATGAAATGAGGGTATGGGATTCTTCACCTGTCTTTGGGCCCCACCTTTCCCCCCCCGCGTGGTTTGTCTTTGTTTCTACCGCTTTGAAGAACAGCCCCATGGGGGCATGTAGTGTACGAGCAAGCATTTGTACGGAAAGCGTTTTTTTTGGAGCCATGTACGCTGTCTGTTTTGAGCAAGAGAGAGGGTGTATGGATTGTTTCCTCTTCCTTTTCGGAATCATTGTTAGAAAGCATAGCCGTGGCGTTTGTATAGGGTTAGCTGTGGGCAATGGCCAAGCATAGAAGCAACTGTTTTGAGCCCCTTGATGGTCAAATGCATGTAAAATAAAGTAAAATAAACGAAGATTCAACGACATTGAAAGAATCACGATAAGACGGAACACATGCAATGGCGATATCTCATAAGCAAGTGTTGGTATCCGACTATCTAAGGGGATGTCTCTAGGAAATTCATCATCATCATCGTAATTCTAAGGTGGGTATGCATGTCTGCTTCAACGCTCACTCAAATCACTGTGGTATCCCCCTAAGCGCTCACAACTCCCCTGACGCGAACAACCACATACAGCATCAACAAGCCGACGATCCACGCGAAAATCGGATGCATCTGCGATGTCACACGCAACTTGCCATGCTCCTCCGTGACGACACCTCGACCCTTGTTGCGAGGAGGAATCGGCAGCGCCTTTGCAAATCTCATAGATTTGGGGGCGCCAGTGGCTCCGACATGTTGGGTAGTATCCGCATCCTCCTCGTCCTCCCTCCCGCTGGCATCTGTGTCAACCGATCGACTCCGAAACGGATTTCCTACGCCCCTGTCCCTGGCAATCAAGAAGCTGTCACGCAGACGAGCCACAAACTGGGCCTGCATAAAATGGCTGGCCAAGGACGGCCTCCTTGCCATTAGATCGCTTTTCCCCTCTTCACGCTCGTCCGAGCAGACATCGTCCAGCTGTCCGACAATCTGGCCGATGCTCTCCAGGATGATGACGGACTCTTGCAGGATATCCTCTCTCTCGCCGGCACTCAGACTGTCCTCCCACGTGAGCAACCTCTCCTTATAGTCTCGCTTAAAATCCTCGCCGTCCTCTGGTGAGTCAAAGTGCCAAAACTGCAGAAACCCATCGCAAGGCGAGGTTTGGAAAGAATGCGATGGTGGGCCGAGGCCATCATCGCCCGTCAGCTCTAGCGGAGAAAAGGACGCAGCACCTGCTCTGGGCTCGCACGGCTGCATCGTCGGCTTGATGGGCTCTGGGACGGTTGTCCAAAAGTCGTTGCCGGCCTTTTCAAAAGACGCCCTGATGTAGCGGCCGCCGGCGAAGAGGGCCATGAACAGGTTGTACGAGTAGGCGATGAGGACGTGCGGCTTTGCGTGGACGGCTTGCTTGATGTGTGAGAGGAAGGCGGACAGTTGGCCGGTTCCTTTGACGGCTTGGATCTGACAATCGAGGGCCTCGTCGGTCCAGCCCGTCATGGCTTTGATGTCGCCTCGAAGACGGTCGGACCGGAAGAGCTGGGGCATGTAGAGAGCCACGAGAATCGTACGGACGCGTTCGGAGACCTCGATGTTGCCATCTTTGCTCTCCTCCACCTTCAAGACTCCATCCCTGCTCTCTGCATCGAGAAGTGTATCATCCGCCACGCCTTCATCGGGAGGACTGGAGAGTATGTCCAGCCACAGCTTCTCAAACGTAATGTACACGGGTAGAAAGTGCAGCAGGCCGCTGATGTATGCGCCGGCATCGGAAGAATGTGGAGGAAGGGCGAGCGGCACCCGGGATGTCACCAGCTTGTTGATTCTGGTGTGCATCGACCTCGTGGCGGCGACGATGTCGATGGCGAGGGACCTGGTGGTGGGAGAGGCAGCATCGTCGGCGTCGGGCTTGGACATTGTGATAGGAGGTGCGGGCTGTGGGAGACGGCGGGTGAGGTGAAGACTGTTGATGAGAAAGAATAAGAAAGGAATAGAATAGAACAGTGTGATGAAGATGAATTGAGAGAGATGCTGTAGGGAGGATGGTATCAAATTGTCGAGGGTATAATGATGAGGGGTGGTATCTCAGGAACAAGTTCTCAACGAAGTTAAAGACAGGTCAAACAAAGAGTGAGAGTAATAACTCGAAGCAAGCCTCGGGAAATATACTCGGACAGAAGAGAAGGAGGCCAAAAGACAATGTTTGCACCATGTGATGGCCACGGAACAAAGTGCCAGGCAGCAGGTACCACTTGTCTAAGACCTCGGGAGTGAAGATGCTTCCGGGGTCCTGCTCTGCTCTCTCGCTCTTTCTGGAGAGAAGCAGGCAAGAGGAGAATGTCAAGAAAGCAGGCAGACTGACTGACTGAAACAAACAAGAGACGTCGACAGGCTCGCGTCGTCTGAGAAGGGGGGTTGCCCTTGCAGTAGTTCCTGGGGCTGCCCTGAAGTTGTGTAACCCGCGTAGCAAAAAGCTTGTGCATGAGGCTGAGGAGGTAAATGTGAGCGGAAAGGCTTGATTAACGGCAGGTGCTTTGCTTTGCTTGCTTCGCAGAGGCCATGTCTCGCGGCTCTTCTGATCTCGTGCCTTTTGCGCTGCAAGGGAGGGGGAGATGCCCGGTTGTCGGTCACGGGCCCTTGATATGATATTCTTTTCAGCTGGATCAATCAGCTGGATCAGGGTCTGCTTTGTCTTGGGCTCGCCGCTGTATCTGCTCTTTTTTTCTTTTCTCTTTAGTAAAGCACAGACTGCATACTGGTAATAAGGTATGAGTGTGGGCACAACTTCATGACATTGATGATGCGTATAAGGGGGCTGATGGCAGTGCGCGAGGATGACTGACTTACGAGTCGAGATGGTCAATGATCGACGAACTCTCAGCACCAGACAGCTGCAAGGTACATGTACATGGGAAATGGCTCAGCGCCGAGAGCACTCAAAGACGCCCTCAGAGTGCGATGGCGGTATAAAGTCTGCTCAGGGATTTTTGCTCTCTTATTTGGTACTACCTTAGATGAACTCGCCACGATCGGGAATTAAGCGCTTGATCGGAATAGACGTTGCGGGTCTCACTAGCAATAATGGGCATTTTATAGTCGTATGCGGAATCGTGGGCAACGTCGAGAATGCCATCCTTATCGCTTCTACAATAGCGCTAGCGCCAGGAACCAACATGATGAAGTCGTGGGGAAAGACGACAAGATAAATTCGTTCCAAGGGGACATCATATATGTAACATCGAAGTGCCCTGATAAACCAGGCTATATTTAATCATCAAGGCGTCCCATACACAACGCCCTCATCGTCTGCAACACCCGCCGCCACCTTGCCCGTGTCCTCCTCCCTGGTCTCGTGGTTAACAAAGACAAACGAGACAAAGACGACGGCCGCCCCGATCCAGTAGACAAAGCTGGAGTACTGCTGGTACTGCACCATCTCGCCAATGAGCGACAGCGGGATGGTCAGGGACAGGCCCACTGTGACGACCAGCGGCGTCGTCAGGAGCATGGCCAGGGCCCACGAGATGTCGCTCACAAAGGACGCAACGGCATTGATCTGGTTGTAGGTATGAGCAAGCTATAACTCGGCAGAGAGGAAGTCAAAGACTGCCAATGAGAGGTGGCTTGACTTACTATGATGATGGCCCAGATCTGGCTTGTAGGCGGCAGTTCAAACTGTTTGTTGGGAGGCTCGTCAGCATTGAACCATCCGAGGCGTAGATGCTTTGGTTAATAAGAAGCTTACCGGTTCGATGCCCGTCCAGTGAAGAATGAAAAACAGCGGCCACAGCAGCGCAAGGTTGAACACGCCCACCAGCCCAAAGAACAGCTGCATGTTGACCTTGTCCTCGTCGCCGACCCGCCGCTTCATCACCGTGACATAGATGCCGTACACCACGGCGCTCAGAAAGGCCATGGCGTCCCCCAGCGCAATCTGCCCGGGCGTCTTGTGCGGGAACGAGCCCCTGTTCTCGTCGCTCTTGCCCGACAGGTCCACCATGGAGATGAGGACGATGCCCGTCAGGGACGCCACGACCCCGATGAGCTTGCGCAGGGAAAACGTCTCGACGCCGAAGAGGGAGCCGAAGACGAGCGTCCAGACGCTGCTCGTCGACGTCAGGATCGTGACGCTGGCGACGCTCGTGTACTCGAGGCACGCCGACGCCAGGTAGTTGGCCACGAACCACAGCATGCAGAACTCGAAGCTCAGCACCGCCGTTTCGCGGAAGCCGAGCTTCTCCTCCCCCGTGGCTGCTGCCGCGGCGCTCCTCCATGTTGCCGTGGGGTCTCGTCGCTCGTGGTCGTCGACTAGCAGCCGCTCGTGCGCTTGGCGATCGTGCTCTTCGTCATATGTCGAGGGACTGCTGCTGGCCGCCGCGGCGTCTTGGAATCGGTGCTGCGCCCACATGCGCCTGACGTCGCTTTGCAGCCCGTGGGTTCCTCTCTGCGCGAGGTATCGGATGAACATGGGCACCAGGGAGATGGCGAACATGGAGGTGTTGAAGTAGACGAGGAAGAAGGGCTTGTCGTAAGTTTCGTCGGAGAAGATGAACTGCATACAACGTCCCAAAAAACACAAGTCAGCCTTTTTCATAGGGCTCTCTCACGCAAACCGTGCTGCATCTATAACAAGGCGTGTGCTCTCTTACGCTGGCGAGAAAGTTGGACAGCGTCCACAGGAACACGGTCAGCAGCAGGAAGGATATCCCCAGCGTCCTCCTCGCGATTCCCACCAGGCCGAGGCCCTCTCGAAAGCCAACTGCCGGCGCGCGGCCATCGGATGTCGCCAGACTGACGGCGCCGAGCGAGGCTCGTCTTCTCTCGGGGCCGTCAGATGAAGGCATCACCGGTTTTTGTGTGTCTTTGCTCGGTTGTTCCCGTCCTTCTTGGGTTTATTTGCTCTCTCTATCGTCTAATCGTCTATGGTATTCGATCGACAGCGGCGCCTTCTCGCTCTCGCTCTTCTCTCTCGACTGCTGTAGGCCCGTGATCAAGCTCCGGTCACGCTGTGGTCGCGTGCATTCTGTATGTGTCCATGTATGCGCTTCGGAAGTGACAGGTATCGGGTCGGTATCTCGGAGCGCCCGCGACTGGGCACGTGTATAAGCAGCTCTGCTTTTATATCGCTGCAGGCGACTTTGGTGAGTTCGCAGCCTGACTGCGTTTGCCGCATAGGAGAGCAATGACGAATTCAAGGACAAAATCAGCCCGACGAGGTGGAGGATCCGGTCCGTCGAGACCTAGTTTCGGCCTTAGGGTCTTAGTTGCTCAACCACTATAAGTGACCTGGGTCTGACTCTAAAACGCGGATTTCCTTATCTATTGTGTTGACCTGAGGATAACAGTCATATAGAGGTCGCAGCCTTGTGAAAATCGGTCAAGATGAATTTTATTTTCGAGCAGCACATCAGTGAGGATCCTTATCTAAACGTCATCCAAGACATACATACACGCACAAGGAATAGGTTTGTTGGGATAGTAGGGCGTCTTCCGGGCTGAGACCACTGGACCGTGTAAGACATCGGAAGTGCCATGAAGACAATGTGAATGCAAAAGCACGGCTTACCGCCATGAAATGGTGCCATTTTTACACAAAGGCCGGCAGTTTCCGCGTAGCAGAAGTAAGTATATTAACCCAGATACAGGATGAAGGTAACGTGATGCAGATATATAGGCAAGGACATGTCTCGTCCATACATGGAGAAAGCGTCGAGGGCATATCAGCGCCGCCGTCTCGCGGGCAGCATCCGACGAGCAAGGAAAATGTGACTCTGCCATTGATCTCGGATGCATGGTTTACTAGTATTCGAGGCCGTAGTAATACAAACTACATGTATCAACGGAAACATTGACGTGTCGCCCGCCTTCGATTTACTTACTAGTAGTACATGTCTTACACGTGAGCAGCATCAGCTCTCGAACGGACTCTATGATCAACTGATCGCTGCACATTACCCCCTCCAAGCTTAAGTATACACATAAGCTGTTCATGGTCGACCCATGTAACCTGTATACGTATATAGCACAGGTTATCTCTAGCGCGAAAATTAAAATAACCTGTACTATGTACAGGTTATCTTTACGTTGCTCTGCTAACTTTATATACCCATATGCAAGCCACACCGATCAGACTGGGCAGCGGATGTGTATGCATTGTAAATTAATTTCCAAGTCCTTGCGACCGGTCAATCAACCACATCGCGATCAACCACATCGTGATCAACCACATCACAGTTAATCAACCACATCACAGTTAATCAACCACATCACAATTAATCAGCTGCATCACAATCAATCAGCTGCATTACAGTTAATTACCTAGCTGTATTACATATAGTTAATTAACTACATCACTTTTACCTTATTATAGACCTTCTATTATAGGGTAATAGGTGTGCATTTGGTGGGTGGTTGATTGATTGCGAGGTGGTTGATTGATCGCGATGTGGTTGATTGATCGCGATGTGGTTGATTGATCGCGATGTGGTTGATTGATCGCGACGTGGTTGATTGATCGCGATGTGGTTGATTGACCGGTCGCAAGGACTTGGAAATCAATTTACAATGCATACACATCCGCTGCCCAGTCTGATCGGTGTGGCTTGCATGTGGGTATATAAAGTTAGCAGAGCAACGTAAAGATAACCTGTATATAGTACAGGTCATCTTAATTTTCGCGCTAGAGATAACCTGTGCTATGTACGTGTACAGGTAACATAGGTCGACCATGAACAGCTTGTCGTACTAGTCTCTAAGCTTTGAGTTTGATAAAAGTTGAATGATATATGCACCTTGATTTATACATAGGCACGAATTGACTCTTGTTCAGTGTCCATGTATACCATGAACCGGGCGTCCGCAAGTATTCACCTGCCTCGGTCATCCCAAATCGTGGACCCGTACTGTTGATAGGCATCTCAAGTTGAACGATCCAAGTTTAACGTTATCTAGTATCTATACTCTCTTGAAAATTCTACACCCAAATGGAAAATAAGCATCGCTATCACGCCATGTTCTACTTATGCAACGATCTTGACTTCTAGTCGTGAGTTCCAGCCGAGGGCGCTCCGTTACTCTCGTTAAAGTGAGGCCTCTTCTGGCCATTCGCAGCTCGAAGGGCAGCATCCTTCGCCATTCCATTATGGCAACCGTTGAAGACAAGCCCACTAATACCCGGATATCCCTTGACGCCCGTAGCCTTCTCCAGCCTGGTGGCCAAATCATCAGACACCTCGCGGAAGATGCCAATCTGGCGGCGAATAATCTCCTTGTCAGTGCAAGTGCTCATATGGCCCGCCACATTCCCAATGAACCTCTCCTTGGCGGCATCGTCAAACACCCTCTCCCAGAGAGCGCGCGGCTGACTGAAATCCTCCGGTCGTATCTCCGACAAGAACGTAATCGCCTTGCCGACGAAGTGGCCGTGGGTTATGTCCAGGTTGGTCTTGCGCTCTTTGAAGGATATGGGCTCGATGGAGGAGAGGTAGTTTGGCCTCGAGCCCTGGTTGTAAAAGGCCATGGGGCCGTCTCGCTGGAAGTTGGCCATGTGATAGCCTGTGCGAGGGGCGTTGACGGGGAGTTGCTGGTAGTTTGCTCCGAGACGGTGACGTTGCGTATCGGGGTATGAGAACAGGCGGCCCTGAAGGACGGGGTCGGCAGAGGGTTCGATTCCTAGGTTGAATCGTGTCAGGTCAAGATTCGCCCAGAATATCATGTTGTCTACTTGATGATGATAAGTAGAACGGTGACTGACCTGGAATAAGATGAGATGGACTAAAGGCAATCTGCTCAATCTCCGCAAAGTAATTCTTCACATTCTCATTGAGGCAAAGCTCCCCAACCTTGCGAAGCGGGAACTGTCCCTGCGGCCAGCAGTGCGTAAGATCAAAGACATTGATCTTCTGCGTCTCCCACAGCTCCTCAGCCTCCTTCGGGGTCATGGTCTGCACGCACAGGTCCCACTGGGGGAACTCGCCGCGCTCGATGGCTTGGTAGAGGTCCTTCTGGTTGGCGTCCGGAGAGCGCCTCGTCGACTCCTCCTGGGTCAGGAAGCCGGTGCCCTGCTTCGAGCGGACGTGGATCTGGCAGTACACCCAGGACCCTTGCTTGTTGACGAGCTTGAAGGTGTGGCCGCTGAAGCCGTGCATGTGGCGCCAGCTGTCGGGGATGCCGCGGTCGCCAAAGGTGTACATGACCTGGTGGACGGACTCGGGGTTCTGGCAGAAGTATTCCCAGAACATGGTGGAGTCGTCGCCGCTGCCCAGGTGGCTCGCGGGATGCCGCTTCTGGGTATGGATCAGGTGGGGGAACTTGGCCGGATCCCGGATGAAGAAGACGGGCGTGTTGTTCTGGACGAGGTCCCAGTTGCCCTCTTCGGTGCGGAACTTGATGGAGAACCCGCGCGGGTCGCGGGCGTGGTCGTGGGAACCGCCTTCGCCGCCGACGGTGGAGAAGCGGACGGTGATGGGACATTCTTTGCCTTCCGCGGAGAAGATGTCTGCGAGGCAGAGGTCGTCGAGGGGGTTGGTGGTTCGGTAGTAGCCGTGGGCGCCGCCGCCTTTGGCGTGGACGACTCGCTCGGGGATTCTTTCGCGGTCAAAGTGGGAGAGGAGATCGATCAGGTGGAAGTCTTGTAGCAGTAGCGGGCCATTATCTCCCGCACGCTGGGCTTCTGTACGATGGATGGTCAGTAGTAGATTGGATTATGCAGTACTTGGGGGATCATACCGAAAGGATGGGGCACTGGAGCTCCATTGCTGGCAGTGTATACGGTCTGCTGAGCTGCAGTGTTGCGGTCGTCGATGTAATTCAAGTGTAGATTGCCTATTGGGTATCGTCAGTTTGAGGTGCACCAAGTCTGCCATCTCGATATATACACACCGTTTTCACGGCTTGACGCAGAGTATGATGTAGAACCCATGGTTGAGGCGCTATATCAATTCGTCTCGAGCTGTGATATAAAGCAGAAATGTGATGACCTGAGGTCTTGAACTGTGATATAAAGCAGAGATGGGTTCAATCTGAAGGGCTTTTGCTTTCTGGTATCACTCACCAGCGAGCAAATTCCGACCCTTTTATAACTGTTCATCCTGCCAAATTTCTATATATAATTTGCTTCTTCATTTTTCTTCGGCCGAGGATGTCTGGTGTAAGTGAAGCCAGTGACGTACCGACACCGTTCCATCAGCCCATCTGGTTACTCTAATCATCTTTGACGCCATTGGTCAAAGGTGGCTAAGCCTCGCTCGCGGTTGGCAAAATTGGGCAAAGGGCCCTCGGGCTACTCCATTTCTGGGAACAGATGGCGAGCAGGTAACTTGTTCACGCTTCACATCAACGTTCTCGTCAGCTCCCTTCTATCCGCTGTAAGTGCCGGATCATTACGGAGTAGTTTTTGTAGAGATTTCCAAGACAGATCCGAGAGGTAGATTTTCACGGCAGTTGAGCTGAGTCACTCGAGATGATAACTCGTACATACGAAGTGCATCCGATGTCAGATGATGTAAAGGTTCGTGGCGGATGATGCTCAACCCTGCATCGTTCCTCGAAGGAGATGTTCTGAGCGGTGTGTGCAGTCTGCCCATTGATGAGATACACGATGATCAGATCTGGTTTTGCAAAAAAATCGACCCAAGAGAAGTTGGCAGCAAGCCCTACAGGCTCAGTGACTATCATGCCCGGTTTCGGGACTCGCATCCAACGTCGTGTGGCCCCCATGGCAGCTACTAAACCATCGGAAGCAAGCGGCCACCGTTGATATGATCATGAAGGACATGATCAAGGTCGAATCCCACCTCTCCGAAGCGGCTCTTCCAACCGCTCGCCACCGGACGACCAAGAATCCACCCTGAAGTAAACTGCTCTTCCATGGACCGCTGCTCATCATACATCTCAATCTCCCGCTTAGCAGCATTGTCATCATCCAGCTCAGTAGAGAACCGGGCCTGAGCTACAGGGTAATATAAAGGGACATCACGGTTGGCCCAGCCGCTGTTGAATCGAGAAGGCTTCGCATAAAAGCAGACAAATCCCTGAGCGTTGGTCTCTGGTATCAACGTCGAGATGATGCGCAGCGCTGGGCTGGGATATCGCTCGATGCCATCCGTCGAGAGGAGGTTGTGGCTCTGTTCCATCTTGTGGAAGACTTGAAGGCTGGCGGACAGGACGAAGCCGTTGAAGAGTCCTTGCTCTCCGATCTGCTTCATCAGCTGCGCTATCCAGCGCAGCCATGACGGCCGAGGGCTGCACTGGCCAATGATGTAGAGCATTGGTAGGAAGCTCCTGTCCAGCTCCTCGCTGGTCACAAAGGTATTTGTAGAATATGTGGTGTTCGGAAGAGTCTTGGAGGTGTTCATGGCGTAGGTTGCTGCAAATCGCATGGCCTGGTAAAAGTACATGTAGGCCTCGGATTCCAGCTTCTTTGCATCTTGGCTTTTGTCATAGAGACAGAGGGTCCACGATACGCGGGCCATAATGAAGTTGTACAGTGCCCCTGTGAAGCACAGCTCTGATGACAGTGCCAAGAAGGGAGATGGAGGAATTGGGTAGTGGCATTCTCCGTCCGCTTCAAGGTTCGCCAGAGCTGTTGTATCGGTCTCAAGATACGGGTAGTCTTCGACATGATATTCTAACCATTGCCGTAGCTCTTTCTGGAACCGGTAAACGTTCTTGAGCAGCGCGGATGGTTCCTGTTGAGTTGGAGCTGTACTCCATATCTCGCTATGAATACCATAGTCTACCAGGGTCTCCAAGAAACGCAGCGAGAGGGGTTTTTCATCGTCAATCATTGATGATCTGTACCCTTCGCCGTTATCAGTGAGCAGCATGCCGGGAAGCGGCACAGCCATATAGCAGGTCCATGAAAGAGTTTGTAGAGCGGTTTCCAGAGCCTCCATGGTAGGGTTGGTACAATGTGGTGGATAGGATCTCACGTATTTTGTGTAATAGTACTTGGCAGCTCGGACATGGCCATAAGCCGCAGGAATATTGCTCGCAAAGCACTATTCGAGATAACAGTCGAGTTAGAACTGTATCTGATGTTTCTGGCCTTGGGCCGACTTGGCACCGTCCGATATCCACCTGGAGTACGTGTCACTCACCTCAAAATAAGCCATGAGTATCATGACAGCTGACAAGGTCCCGGGCGACTTCTGGGCCTCCCGGATATGGCTCGACAGTTCCTGTAGCGCCTGCGTGTACTCCTGAACACCAATGACTTTGGTGTCCAACCCTCGAGCCTGATCATACTCACCAAACATGGAAGTCATGAGAGCAGCGCGATGCATGCAGCCGAGGGCCAACAGCCCACGCTGAGCATACTCAATGCACCAGGCTTCGTCACAGAGGCGGTCCCTCCAGAACCACAAGTGATTGGCCGGAAACAGCATCGGCAGCGTGCGGAAGAAAACCTGGTGGTAGGCGAGAACCTCGCGGGCAGCCGCGCACGGCCGCGTAGACAGCCGCGGGTTGCTGGGCAAGCCTACCAGCGGGAGGCCATCGTGGCGGAATTGAGGCCGGGGCAGCGGCGGCGGCGGCGCAGCACAAGCGGCGGCATCCGCGGCCGGAGAGGAAGCGGCCCGGAAGGAGGGCGGGCCGCTCGGAGCGAACCTCGGAGGGCCCGGAGGAGGAGGAGGAAGAAGAAGAGGAGGCTGTGGCGGAGAGCGCACTCCGTCATCGTCGACAGTTGCCGTTATACTCAGAGGCGAACCTCGCTGCGACTGTGACTGTGATCGAGATTGGGATGCCCGCTGCCGCTGGCCTGGGGGCCGCACGTCAATGCGCCGCTTGGGCGCGTATCCTGCGCACTCGACGTTGGCGTTGACGCAGCGATTGCAGGCGGGCTTCTGCTCGTCGCATTTGACGCGCCTGGCCCGACACGTGAGACAGCCGGTGCGTGTGCGTCTCTTGATCTCGCTCATGGTTTTTCTCTCCTCGATCGGGGTGTTATTCGTTTTGTTTCGAGCCAAGCGAGATAAGCGTCGACTTTTCCTAGCAAGTAAGTTGATCAAATCGCGGTTCAGCTGGGGGAGGCGCTTGAGTCCATTAGGTAATTCCTGGAGTGCAACGGGAGACGGGTCTGATTCGAGCGGAGATTTTGTGTGTGTGAGCAGGTCGGTGTAAGTGGGCTTTGGCGAGATAGCCGAGGTTACCGGGGTCGTTACATAGGTAGGGTATAAGAGCTGCTCTGGGTGTTTATGGTTTTGAACTGCAACATCTGTCATATTCCAAGACTGCCTTGAAACTGCCGTGATTGGGGTTGTATTCTTTTGTGTGGATAGGTATTTCAGTGCGGCCTCATATGGGCATTAGAGATCCAGCCTTGTATCACGATGAGCTTCTTGATTCGTCCTTGTGGCAGATTTGAAGAAGACGTAGGAACTACCCGAGGTACTCAAATTGGCGCGTTCCTCTGATGTTCTAAGCCTTTGATTATAGACACCTTTGATTCTATCTGGTAGTAGAAAAAGCTCAACGACGAAACCCCCATGTCCATCAACTTCATGTCTCATTCCCAGATACAGACGGAAAACCGCAAGCTATGTCATCCATCACAACTGCTCTCCCGCCGCTCAGGCCGACATGGTCGGCAAGGTGATCAATCTACTTACATGAGTTGAGAGAAGGATGAGAGACCTCGGTTATAAAATCAAAGTATCCATTCTTTTATATATGGATATGGTATCCTATTAACCCTAGAGAACACCACATATAAAGAGATCAAATCAAATCGCCCGCTCTACTCTCTTCTATGCGTCACTAATCAACCCCGTTGCCTCACTGCTTCGTAGGCAGCAAAACAGCCCTGTAATGCACCTTGCCGGCCTCAAGGCTCTCAAACGCCTTGTTGATGCCCTCCTCGGTCATGTCAAACCTCTCAATAACAGGCGTGATCTTGTGGAAGGCAGCAAACTCCAACATCTTGCGGTGGATAGCCCGCGTGGCAACAAGACTGCCGTGGATCGTGATGCCGCTCATGATGATGGGCATGTAAGGCATCTCAAAGTTGTCCTCAGACACCGACAGCGGATAGATGCGGGCGCGCGTCGAGAGAAGAGGCAGGATCTTCTCCCACGAGGGCTGGGCGGACGTCGTCACCAGGAGACGGGAGATTTCCCAGTCGCCGAGCTGCTCCTGGACGTTGTCGCTGTTCATGGCGACGAACCTGTGAGCGCCGAGCTTGGACGCATCCTCCTTCTTCCTGTCGGATCCCGAAAGAACAACGACGCGGCAACCAAGCTTGGCCGCAAACTGGATAGCAATGTGACCAAGTCCACCAACACCCATGATGCCCACAGTGTCGACAGAATCGACATCATGCAAGGCCGTAAACACCGTCGCTCCCGCACACTGCAAGGGGGCAGCGATCTCATCGCTCATGCCATCGGGGATGGGATGCAAAAACGACTCCCGCATGACGGCGTGAGACGAGAAGCTGCCCTGGTCAGTGTTGCCCGAGCCGTAGATTGCCCGCTCCTTGCAGAAGATGTCTTGGCCCTGCAGACACTCGAGGCAGTGGCAGCAGCTGTCGGTCAGATAACCCCAGCCTACGCGGTCGCCCTTCTTAAGCCATTTGGCACAGGGGCCAACCTCCTCGATGATGCCGACGCCTTCGTGGCCGAGAGCGTTGTCTGTGTGTTTCTATGTCGAGGGTTTCTACGTTAGCCAGCTGGTGAGGAGTGGGTATAAGTGATGTTTGAGAGGACTTACATAGTGCACATCTGTGTAGCACATTCCTGACGCAGTCACGCGCAGGAAGACTTGATCGCCGGTGAGATCGGGCTTGGTGGTGGTGCCCGGCTTGACATGGCCGCTCTTGGATCCGGTGTAGACGGTGAAAGACGGCATAGTGGCTTTGAATGTGTAATAAGAACTCGGTGTAAGTGGTGCTGAGTATAATGTGTGATAAGAGCTTGGTGTAAGCGTTGGTGAATATCAAATGTGTATGCCGAGGACTGATGTTGCTCCCAGTCTCTCTCTCTCTCTGAATGCTCAATGTGTCTGAATCATGGAATGACAACTGCCCTCGACAGCTCCTCTTCCCCGACTTATATATCCCATTGACCTCTCCCCAGATCACCCATACATCATATTCAAACCCGGGTTTTATTCCCAATAATGTCAGCCAACGTCCCATCCAAAGCTTCCCAAGCCTTTCTGGAAGATCCCGAGCTCTGGAGTGGTCCGCTTGCGCCGCTTGCATCGGTCGACAGTCCGCATCAACGGATTGAGTTTGGTTCAAACAGGACCCCAGAACGCCCCGTTTGATAGCGGTTAACAAGGTGGTTGGAGCCCTGAGATCAGTAAACCGTGTGCTTGTCTAAGCAAGCTTGCTTGGAGATGGTGGCGGTATCTGCCGTTTGGTGGGACATAAGCTGTCAGCTACCCAAGTAGGTAATGCCCGATGACACGGCGGCTGTTTACTTTCGGTAATGCTGCATAGATGGATACAGGCTTTTGGTTGGTAGAATGCCTGAAATGGAATGATTATCAAGCCCAGTTGCTTCATCTTGATCAAGGTTGCTACTGTGTGATAGCATTTGTGGTGTTTAGTCCACAGGAAGCGGCGAGACGATCTACGGATATCGCGATTATCTCGTCATACCCTGAACTGCCGGCCTGGATTGACGTCACACCAACCTCGGTACTTTCCGCTCAGGAGGAGATGAAGTTGCATTGAATGTAACAATCTCTATCCTCGCTTCATATTGAACAAAGACACGTCTGATTGATAAGTAATAAATGTATCACAATAATATTGATCGCTGTTGGCTATTCTCTCCAGAAGCTGCAGTAGCACCGACGACAGCATCCAATATCAATCAAGCATTTCCAATCGCTTCAAAAGTGCATACATGCAACCACATGCTTTGAATAAGCCGCTGAACAAACCGTCCTCCATCTGATTCACACCAGTACATCGTTGAAAAGCGTGAAGAAAACGACACCATCATCACGCTGCCTTGCTTCCTACAGCATTGTCTCCGTGAACGCGTGTCCACCCGGCCGGATACGACAATGCGGAGTATGGACTTCGCTGAGCCGAGGGAAATGATGCCCCAATAAGTACTGGAAGTATACTTGACCGACGTAACTGCAAGGGTGTCAGCGGTTTCTTCTGGCGTCCTTCAGGCCAAAGAATTGACGCAAGGCGAAAACGAACCTGTCTGTGTTCATGTTGTACATCACGCCTGCAAAACCCGCGAATCGCAAATACTCCAGCTTTGGAAATAAGGGAGGACCACCTAGATTCTCCGATAACAGCTCATCAACTTGGAGCGGCCCGGACATCTCCCACCGGCGCAGTTCCCGACAGTGAGACGAAAGAGATCGAAATCCCCGGCCGGAGACTGCACAATGGATGCCGAAGACGAGGGAGTGAAGACGTGGCCAGTGGGAGGCAACCAGCTCGAGGTCGGCATCTGAGAAGGAAGACGTGACATTGATCCAAACGGGGTGCAGAGGCGCCAATATCAGGGATTCGAGCTTTGACAGTGTCGCAAGTGCTGCCAATGAAGCTCCTGGGATGTACACGGTTTCCCCGAACATTACTTGCAGTCTTGTTAGATTGACCAACTCGCGGAGAGGCTCTATTGCATCACCATCTGACGTCTTGATTACCAAATGGAGGCGGCTGAGGTTTGTCAACATCGAAGCCAGCTTTGACATGGCGTTTGATGGGACGGAAAGAGTGAGTGACATGAGCGAAGGAAAAGGCCTGGCTTCGCGGTGGGATTCCACGTCTACAAGCTGCCTCGTTGCAGAAACTGCCGCATCCCTTGACCAAGGCCATGGAAGCTGCAAGATGACCAAGTTGCTCCGGCGTGCCAAGCTCGATAGGAGGTCACCATCGACTGTTGGGGACGGAGGAGTAGACGCAATCCTGGCCGTCGTGAAGATGAAGGTTTCCAGAAACGGCATGCTCTGTATAAATCCAGCAAAGGAAGCAGTGGGGGGTTGCTCCTTGTATGTAGAGAGCAGGGCGTGCTTGAGATTCGGACAGTTATCTCGCAGTAACTCGAGTAATTCAGTAGAGACACGTTCTCCGTGGTATATGAACGTTCGCAACAACCGAACGCAGAAAGGCTTCATTTGATGCTTGTTGAAGGAGTCGATCGAGGGGACGTCCGTCATGAGATGCTTCAGTCGGGGGAACTCAAGGCCCTCCAACGCCGACAGGTTACAATGTTTGCTTGAATCCCACACCTCTATGTTTCTGATCTTGGAGGCGTAAATTTGTCGGCGCTCCGGAGGCACCTCGCCAAGGTGTCTGTATGCGTCGGGGTTTGACCACAACTGTTCAATCCCGCAGTCAAACCATAATCTGTTTACGCGGATGGCTGAGACGGATGCCGGACGATCTCCCCAGTATTGAACACCGAAATAGAATTCCAGTATCTTGCGGACGAGCTCGGGGAGAGACAGGGCCACCGTGGCGGCGGTAGATGATGGTTCCATGGAGTATCAGTGGAAGAGAAGAGATCTGAAAGAAAGATGCGATGATAAAATGATGGACGAATCCAACCAAGGGACTCAAATAATCATGAACAGAGATGTCGCTGTAGAGAGGGAGTAGGAACATCGGCACAGGAGACATGAATCGATATTGATATGGTGAAGCCCAAGAAATCCAGCAAGCCGGTATTACTGAAGTGTCCAAACAATTGTCACAAATATAGTCACTGTAGATTAGGAAAGAACTGTTGCACAGGCAACAGAGATATGTCATAGCGGAAAGGGAAGTGCAGGAACCTACGAGTCGCAGATGCCGGAAAAGGAGGTATAAAGAGCGCTGCTAGAGATGGCCCACACCTTCACGTTGATTTATACATCACAGTCGATCAAGTTTGCCTGACTGACTTTTCATTATTGTCTAACTTTTCGAATGCTTTCGATCGGTGCTCACGCAATCATCTCCTTCGAGTCCATGCCCTTACCCTCAGCCAGCACTCCAGCCTTTCTCAAAATCGAAACGCACGATGACACAACCTCAGGCTTGACCCCCTCCGTCTTGGCCGGAAACCTCACAGTCTTGAGCCACTCCCTCGCATCCTCAGCCGAATAGTCCAGGTTCGTCGAGATGTACTGCACCGCCTCCTCCGGGTTCGCATTGAAGTGCGCAACCCCCTTGTCCAGCTTCTCAAACAAATCCTTCACACGTGCATCCACCCCTCCGGGTCCTGCGAGCTTCGTCGACGCCACAATCTTCCAGCTGCTCCACGGCGTGTAAATCTCGCCCACGCGGCGGATCTCGCCCGAGTCGTAAAACTTCTTGGATGTAAAGTGCTCCCACATGAAGAAGTCGGCCGCGCCCGAGTTGACCGCGTTGCGCAGGTTCTCAAAGGTGTTGAGCACGACGGTGTCGGCGTAGGGCTCCGCGCCGCCGGGGGTCAGCCAGCCGTTCTGGTCGGCCAGGACGTAGCCCATCACGTAGCTGCCGGAGCCGATGCGGGAGACGCCGATTTTGCCGCCCTTGAGGGAGTCGACGGAGGTGATTTCGGGGCGCTTGGCGCCGGTCGAGATGGCCCAGCCTTGTGCATGTCCGTGTCAGAACTGAATATCGTGATATGTCTTCATCTTGACTTACAGAGCGGAGTCTCAACGTAGGTGCCAACCAGGCGATATCCGCCATCTCCCTCGACGCCCTCCTTGCCCAGGCCGGCGATCCAGGCCTCGGTCAAGCCAATGCCAATATCAATCTCGTCAGCCCGCAGAGCCGTAATCATGTGGCCCGTGCCTGAGGGAAAGGGGACCAGCGTGGCATCGAGGCCAAAGTGCTTCTGGGCGAAGTGCAGCGGGGTAGAAAAGTGCTCGGGCACGAAGCCGATGCGCAGAGGAGTGGCCATGACGAAGGAAGAACGATGCTGTAATGAGAGTTGTCTATGATTAGGTACTGCAGATTGCACAGTGACGTTGAGCGTTGGACGTGCTAGAGAGATGGGCGTCAATGTGAAGATTTTGGAGGTTGAATACTGTATGTGTGAGTTTTGGCCATGATGAGCCGCGCTGAGTGGGGTTGAGGATGCTAATTGATGGCGATGATGAAATGGCTCTCTGTGAAGAATGACGGCTTACATCAAATAGTGAGCAGCTCAATGGCTATACAGTTTCTATTCGCTGTTTGACATCATCTCACTCAAACGCTTCTATTTTCATCATTCATCAAGTGTTTTCGCCCCTGCTGACAAGGACTCGTAGATACTTCTCCATGGTTGTCAGAGGCTCAAGAAGGCATCGCCAGTCTACTACCAATGTACATGAGCCCTGTTTCAGGCACACACTCCGAGACAGCCATCTTGATTTAGCCTAATGAGTGAAGGATGTCTGATGCCACAGTCCTCTCCTACACAAACTGCTGATTCACCTCCGTTATTGACGGATATACATAGGGCTTTCATCATGTTATTGTCAACTGGACAGGGATCAGGATCCTCGGACACGGAGACTTAGTGTCTATATCCGCTCTTATCAATCTCCCCCAGTTTTTTTTCCCTCGCCCCTGCTCCTCGGGCTAAACTTCGAGAATGGTCACCTCTCTTTTTTCCCATCTTCTCTCGTCTATGAGTCGAGTTGTATAGGCCATATACAGCTGTTTCCTCACAGCTTCTCCATTCCCCATGGCAGAAGTCCTGCTCGATATCCCCGTCGACGCGCCTCTTTTAGGGGACAATGAGCGCCAACACGATGACTCGAACCGCCCTGATGATGCGGCCTCGCCTCCCGCCCTCAAGGCCGCACGATGGCAGGTCAAGTTGCCGAAAACCGCAGTGAGATTGATTGCCGTTCTGGAGTTCATGATTGTCGCCAGCGGCATGCTGTTGATGATCCCCATATACCGCCTGATTGAGGACACCGTCTGCCACGTCTATTACGGAGACGACTCCCTGGATATGATTGACGAGATGAAGTGCAAGACGGACGAGGTCCAGGCGCGAATGGCGTATCTGCTTGGCTGGCTGGGGCTGTTCAACTCCATCATGAGTGCGTGTCTCCTTTCGTATTTGCATTACTTTGGTAAAAAACGCTCTCGAAGACATTATTCGCTCATATATACTTGTGCGTTAGGCCTGCTCACCACGTTTCCTTACGGCATGCTGGCCGACAAGATGGGCCGCAAGCCGACGATACTGCTCGCCTATGCAGGCATGACCTTGTCCGCCATTTCTGGCCCGCTGGTGCTGGGAGTCGGCCAGCATGTTCTCCGCAAGAATCCGTATTTTCTCATGATCACCTCACTGCTTCTCTTGATCGGTGGTGGGACCCCGGTTGTGCTGTCCATGCTCTATGCCATGGCTGCTGATGTTAGCTCTGAAAAGGACAAGTGAGGATTCTCGGACGATCCCACGATGAATATGAGTGACAAATGACTGACGGCGAATTGTATAACAGAGCTGCCAGCTTTCTTCAGCTTACGTTTGGTGCTACGGCTGGTGGTCTGGCTGGTCCTCTCCTCACGGGATTCCTGATGGAGAGGCTTGGCCCCTGGGTGCCCATCTTCGTCGGATGGTCCATCTACCCTTTTATTTTGCTCCTCTTCTGCTTCATACCAGAGACGCTCCACGTCGACAAGAAGACAAAGAGGGGCGACGCCGACGTGTCTATCCAAGCCCTCAAGCGGCAATTTTACAGCAGCTTGAAGGACTTTAGGGAAGCGCTGGGTCTGTTGAAGAACCCCAGCATTCCTCTGGTTCTCCTTACATTTCTGTTTCAAGCCGCACGGTTCACGGCATACACCAGCACCATTATTCAATACGTCAGCAAGCACTTTGGATGGCGCCTCGCCGAGACCAGCTTCCTCCTCGCCCCCTTTGGAGTCCTCAACCTCACCGTGCTGGCCGTCCTCCCCAAGATCTCGGAGATGCTCGTGTCCCGCCGGTTCGGCTACTCTTCCTTCAGCAAGGATCTGTTCCTGACGCGGAACTCTACTGTCCTGCTCTTTGTCGGTGCAGTGATTGAGGGCTTCAGCCACAACGTCGTCCTCTTCATCATCGGCCTCTTTGTCGAAACCTTTGGCGCGGCCGCCAGTCCCCTGGCTCGAGCCACAGTCACGCACTACGTTGAGCCCGAGTTCGTGTCCAGGCTGTATGCTCTGGTGAGCACAAGCGAGATTGTCGGTTCGTTTATCGGGGGTCCCGTGCTGGCGTGGTGTTTCGATGTGGGATTGCAGAAGAAGGGCGTCTGGACTGGGTTGCCGTGGTTCTACATTGCGCTCTTGTCGATGATTACCTGGGTTGGATTGCTGTTTGTGCGTCCGCCGCCGGCGAAGAAGAGTTCGGCTGATGATGAGAATGACGAGATGGAGCCGATGAATCCTCATGACGACTAGATGTATGGATACGGTATTCAGATAGGACTCAGTCACATGTAAGATATAACAGTAAGGTGAACTGAGGTGACAAGTATAGATCGAAGGTTCCCTGATGGTGCATCCTTTGTCCATCAATACGTAGTATCGAGCAGTTCAGGGCTTGACAATCCCCGACCCCTGCTTGGCCTGCCTCAACTGAACCGGGGCCGGCCAACGCACACAAGTCGTGCGTGTCTCTTTTCACGTCGCCAACCGAACCCGTCAGTTACGCCTGAGGCCGCGCAACAATCACGCGGCCTCTGACGAGCGTTACCAAGAAACTACATGGAGGTCCGAAACAACCTTTATAGGCTTCCAAAATGGCGAATCTTGTTCCCCACACAACTTGCATAAGAGATAGAGCTAGAACCCCCGGGGCAACGAATCGAGACTCCAAAAGAGTCATAATCACAAGCCACGCCTTTCGGGTGCAGTTTATTTAGTGCTGGAAGGATCGCTTTCGGGGTTTGGCCAGGTTATGACTCGATTGACTAGCTCGACGGGTACGATTGCCGCGAAAGTCGTCAGCGGCCTTATTTGCGATATGCTCCGCTTGTTGACTGGATCTTTTGTTAGTTCTTCTTCCATGTGAGGCGGCGGCATGCGTAACGTCTTTGAGTCTCTGATATCTCTTCCCATGCGATGCAGCGGTGATGGTTGATCCTTGTTCGAAAGGATTCTCGAATGAGGTAGTCATGGCCTCCGTTATAAGACTGCAACAACCTTTCCCTCCACCCAACCTTATACCCCCTTAACTTGTCTTCAGCCCTACGGCATTGGCATCTTTTTGAGCGTTGTAGCAATGTGCAGCATGGAATATTCATCACTGTAATATTTGTTTTGTACGAAGTTCTTTTTGCATAATGATACGCCACCGATCTTACAACGCCACGGCGTGTGGTGATGGCTTCTTCGGCCCGGCGGTCTGGGCCGATGGCTGTCGGGGCGGCTTTGACTTTACACGTGCGATTCCCTCCAAGCAAACCATTGAATGATCTTTCGATATAGAACAGTATGCTAACCCTTGTCATTCTCGTACAGTTTCGTTTGAAGAGAGCATCTTGTCCACGCTTCCGTCTGCCCTGTTCCTCCTCTTCTCCATCCCGAGAGCCATCTACCTCCTCCGAACTCCAGACAAGGCGAAGCGTCGATCAGCCTATACACCGAAACTGGTCCGTCTGCCCACTTTCTCTTATGACTTTACAATCCTCGCTGCAGAAGTAGAAAAAAAAAAATCTCTAACAGCACCCCCCAAAGATCGCATCAAGTGCCTATGCAGGCCTCCAGGTCGGCTCCCTCGCCCTCGTCGCCTCCTCCCGTCGCCTCAACACCAGGTTCTCCCTCGCCGCCGCCATCCTCAACCTCGTCGCCGCCTGCTGCATCGTCCTCCTCTCGCACATTGAGCACGTCAAGTCCATTCGACCTTCCTTTTTGCTCACCTCGTATCTCTTCACGTCGCTCCTCTTCGACGCCGCTCGGCTGCGGACAGAATGGCTCCTCTCGGTGAATGTCGCCTATGCGGCAGTTCTATTCACTTCGACCATCTTGAAGCTGGCTTTGCTGGTGCTGGAGAATGTCGAAAAGAGGCGCATCCTGCTGGATTCGGGCAAGGAGCGGTCGACAGAAAGCACCAGCGGCCCCTTTAACCGCGGCTTCTTCGTCTGGCTCAACTCGCTGCTCATCTCGGGCTGGGCCACCGTCTTGACCCTCCACGACCTTCCCGCCATCTACGAGAAGCTCTCTTCCGAGAAGCTGGCCGTCATCTTCACCAAGCGATGGGACAAAGGTATGCCACGATGGAGCATCATCACACGTCTTCTTCTTCTTCTATTTTGGGTGCCGTACAACTGACTATCGCCCAGTCACTCGCGATGGACGAAAGGCATCCCTCTTTCTCAACTCTGTCTGGATCCTCAAGCTCGAAATCCTCGGCATTGTGTTCCCCCGCCTGGCCACGATTGCCTTAACTCTTGCGCAGCCTTTCCTCGTGTCTCAAGCACTGCGTTTCCTCGCGATGCCCAAAGACGAGCATTCTGACAATATCGGTTACGGCCTGATCGGTGCCTTTGCCTTTGTCTTTGTTGGATCTGCGGTACGTTCAACCGCAACATCAAACAATCGGGGTTCTCCTTTCCAAAAGCTAAGTCGTGACAACTAGATCCTGACAGCATGGTACGAACATCTCACCTTTCGAGTAAACGCCATGATTCGAGGAGGCCTGATTGGCCTCATCTACCGCAAGATCTTGAGGCTCTCGGCAAGCGAGCTGAACGAATCAGCCGCTCTGACGCTCATGGGCAACGACATCGAGACTCTCGCCGAGCGTGCCAATGCCTTGCTCATAGAAGCGTGGGCAAACTCGCTTACCGTCGGAATCGCCATCTGGATGCTGTACGCGCAACTGGGACTTGTCTTTGTCGCTCCCATTGCCATGGCCATAAGTAAGTGGTGAAAACCGGTTTCTCAGGGGGGCTTGGGCTTTGCCAATACTCACGTTTTGGTAGTCTCTATCGCATTGTGTTGGTTCATCGGAAAGGTCCTCGTCAAACGCCAGACCGTCTATCAGAAAGCAACGCAAGATCGCATCAACTTCACCTCTGAAGTGCTCGGCTCTATCAAAGCCGTCAAGATGCTGGGCTATACTGAGCGCTTCACCGAACTCCTCGAGCAGAAACGCGACAACGACCTACAGGTTGGAAAACGCTTCCGATGGATGACGGTATGGGCCAACACAGTCGGTAAGTCGACCTCCAAAGCACTCTAGTTCAACTCTTTCCCATTTCGGCAACGACTCATTCCTCGTCTCATTGTGCAGGAAACGCAAACATCAGTCTTACCCAGGCCGCTACCTTTGGCGCCTACGCCATCGTCGCCAAGCTCAGCGACAGCCAGTCCTTCTCGGCCTCGCAGGCCATCACGGCGCTCTCCATCCTCAACGTCATGAGCAACCCGCTCAGCAACCTCCTCTTCAACATCTCCTCGGCCTACTCCGCCTTGGGGTGCTTCAAGCGCATCCAAGATTTTTTGCTACTCAACGAGAGGGCCGATCACCGCGAAATATGCGCACGGCCTGGACTCTCATCGACGTGGAGCGAAGGGGAGGAATCACAGAGGAGCAGTATTGAGCTTCGCCACCTTGACAGTTTCAAGGATGAAGGCGCGCGTATTCACATTGCGGGAGGGGAATTTGCTTGGAAGGACAAAAAGGTGTTGAGCAACATCAACGCCTCCTTTTCGCAAGCACCATCAGGATCCCTCACCATCATCGTCGGTCCCATCGGCTCCGGAAAGTCGAGTTTGCTCAAGGCCATCCTCGGCGAGACTCGCTCGACCGGCGGAAAGGTGTCGCTCTCGACACCCAGCGTCGCCTTCTGCGACCAAACTCCCTGGGTGATGAACGCAACGATTCGAGACAACATCGTGGCGGAATCCGGACACTTTGAAGATAAGTGGTTTGACACCGTCATCGAGGCCTGCGACTTGGCTCAGGATCTTTCCCGGCTGCCAGATGGTGTTTCGACCATGGTAGGCGACAAAGGGGTGAAGTTAAGCGGGGGCCAGAAACAGAGACTGGTGAGCATTTTCTCCTTGCTTTGACATTTGAATGGAATCAGATCATCTAAACTCCCGGCAGGCAATCGCCCGAGCTGTTTACGCTCGGAAGCCCGTAGCCATCTTTGACGATGTCTTCAGTGCCCTGGACAAGGCAACCGAGCGCATCGTCTTTGCTCGTGTTTTCAGCAAAGATGGGCTTCTGCGTCGCAGCGGCACAACCGTGATTCTCGCCACCCACTCCGGTAAGCCCAGTATCACTTACGCCTGATTATATCGATGGAAAGTGTCTCTAACTGGTGTTGTTTAGTCCATCTGTTGCCCGGCGCCGACCACATCATCGCTCTCGGCACTGACGGCCAAGTCATTGAGCAAGGATCATTTGCAAACCTCCAAGAAACAGGCAAATACATCCAAAGCCTCGACATCACAGACCCCCATTCCGAAAGTGACGACGAGGAGGCTACCCCGAAGCAGGACACAACCAAAGAGCCCAAGAATCCCAGCCAACGCCAACATGATGGAGAAGAGCAAGACCAAGAACAAGGACAGCAACAGGGAGTGTCGAGCGACCGCAGCACCTTCAAGTATTACTTTTCCGCGATGCAGCCCCTGAGCTTGGCCATCGGCGGTGCATATGTCGGCGGACAAGCTTTCTGCTCATCTTTCAGATGTAAGTGGTTTGCTTTACCCATCTATCAACTCTTGTCTCGAGTTCATGTTAATTCATGTGCAGCTGTTTGGCTTACGTGGTGGGGAGACGGCCGAGGACGCTCGAGCAACGATGTCGGATACTGGTTGAGCATCTTTACCGTCCTGGCCGCCATAGAGGCCACTCTGATATCTCTGGCAATCATGTAAGTCGAGCCTTCACGGCGCACAAGATAGGAATAATCTGAGGGATACTGACAGCCGTATCAGACACTTCCTGTTGATCATCGGGCCTACCGTCAGCAAAAAGTTTCACAGCAGAATCCTGAATGCAGTCATGAGGTAAAAGTTCTTGCATGGAAGAACTCTGTGCCTGAACTCGTGGACTGACACGACACCATCTAGGGCTCCCATGTCGTTTCTTTCCAACTCCGAGACTGGCTCGCTCGTCAACAGGCATGTACTTTTCCTGAGCGTTCATCTTCATCATCCCAGCTTCTCGATACTATACTAACATTGCCTAATGGAACAGATTCAGTCAAGACTTGCGACTGGTAGACATTGACCTCCCCGTGGCCCTCGCCATATTCCTCTTCGGTAACTAAATCCCTCCCACTACAGTCCGCAGACTCAACTCCCCTGAAAGCTGACCGCCAATCACACAGACATCTCCATCTGCATAGGCGTCACCGGCCTTGCCGTCGGAGCAGTCGGCTACTTCGCCGCATCCCTCCCCTTCGTCATCACCATCCTCCTCATGATCCAACGCTTCTACGTCCGAACCTCCAAACAACTCCGCATCCTAGAGTAAGCTTCACGGCATCCCATCCCTTACAACAACGACAACAACCGAACCTACTAAAAATCCCCCCCTTTAGAATCGAACACAAAGCCCCCCTATACTCCCACTTCCTCGAATCCATGCACGGCCTCGCCACCATCCGCGCCTTCGGCTGGACCCACCCCTACTCGCGAAAGAACCTCGCCCTCCTCGACAGCGCCCAGAAGCCCTCCTACCTGCTCAACTGCATCCAGCGCTGGCTCACCCTCGTGCTGGACCTCGTCGTCGCCGTACTCACCGTCCTGCTCGTCGTCTTCGCCGTCGTCCTCAGGGGCAAGCTCAACCCCTCGCTGCTCGGCGTCGCCCTCGTCAACATGATGAACCTCGGGCTCAACCTAAAGGGCATCATCCTCGCGTGGTCGCAGCTGGAAACCTCGCTCGGAGCGGTCACGCGCATCAAGACCTTTGAAGAGACGACCCCTTCGGAGCTGCTCCCCAAAGAAAACTACGTGCCGCCTGCAGAATGGCCTTCTCGGGGGTCCATTGACTTTGTCAACTTATCCGTACAATACGAGTGCGTATATATACATACACATCTATATCCCCTCCTCCTCCTCCTCCTCCTCCTGATCTATAACAAAGAGCCCAGCGACAAAACTAACCATCGTCCCAAAACAGCTCCAACTCCCACCCCGTCCTCACCAACATCACCCTCTCCATCGCACCCTCCCAGAAGCTGGGCCTCGTCGGCCGCAGCGGCAGCGGCAAAAGCTCCCTCATCCAAGCCCTCTTCCGCATGGCCAACACCCCCTCGGGCGCCATCCTCCTCGACGGCATCGACATATCCACCATCCCCAAGCCGCTTGTCCGCCAGCGCCTCAGCTGCCTCACCCAGGACCCTTTCTTCTTCACCAACACGATACGCTTCAACGCCGACCCGCTGGGCGCGCATTCCGACGCGGACATTGTCGGCGCGCTGCAGAGGGCGGCGATCTGGGACGTCATTCGGGCCAAGGTCGATGACGAGGGGGTGAATCCGCTCGATGAGAGGATCGACGAGACCTTCTTCTCGCATGGGCAGCGGCAGCTGTTTTGTCTAGGGAGGGCGCTTTTGAAGAAGAGCAGTATCCTCATTCTCGACGAACCAACCAGCAAGTACGTAACCCCTCACTCCTCCATCACTAATCCAAGAAAAAAAGGGGATGGAGGCTCATTATATCCCCAACTAGCATCGACAACCAAACCGACGCCCAGATCCAACGCGTCATCAAATCCGAGTTCAAAGACCGCACAGTCATCATGATCGCCCACCGCCTCGATTCGCTGCTCGAGTTCGATACCATTGCCGTGCTCGAGGAAGGGTCGCTGGTGGAGGTTGGCGCCCCTGGGGAGCTGCTCATGAGGGGGGGTGCGTTCTCGAGGCTTTACGCTTCTGATAAGACGAACAAGAGGAGGAGTTTGGACGACATTTCATGAGAGCAGAATTTTTTGCTTTTATATGAGGTAACGAAGTTTATGGGATGCCCAGCATATAGGTTGATTGATGACGAACGGCGTAAGATAGGGGTTACATACATGATAATTAACATAGTAGTACAAAAGAGCATACTAGACATGAATAGTTCAAAATGCCCTGTCCAAATATACAAGTTCTATTTTGGAGGAGATATCCAAGCTTTCCATCCAGGGTACATGACTATCGAAATCACCTACACAACCCAGGTACGCCTTGCTATTTGCTATATGCTATCCTAAAATCGCCGTCCAATGTCCAACAAATCCTCCTCTTGCCGCTATTATACTTTCACATTTTAACGCAACATGTACGTGAGATCAGGAATATCCCCCAACAGCTTAGCCACAGTCTCCTCCTCCTCCGCGCTCAAATTAGGTCGTTCTGCCGGCTGAATAAACGACACACTGGCAGATACGTTGTGCCCATGGCGAGGAGTTGCCGCTTGAGCAACCTGGGGCGGCGTCAATGGTTTCGAGAGTGGGCTGGGGAACGATGGCGTTGAGGGCGTCTTGGGCCCTCGCCTAAAGGGCTTGCTGAGCGTTTGTCCCAGGTGCCACGAGAATGGTCGTTTGCTCGGCGCCTTGTCCGTCTTTGGTGGGACGGGTTTGAGACTGTCGACCACCGTGTCGAACTGGAAAGCAGACTGAGGAGGAACGCTGTAACGCTTGCTCGTAGTTTCTTCGTCCTCGGTGAATGACATGGTAGTGGTCGGCGTGGCGGTCATCATCTCGCCCCAGTCGTCATCATCCTCGTCTTGATGTATGCTGTACGTGGGTGGGATGTGAATGGGCGTGGGGATATGCGCCCGAGTGTTGTGCAGAGGCGGCGGCGCGAGAGACAGCGATTGTAGAGCCGGGTCCGCTTTGGTTTCTTTGGGGGATGGCACTTCTCGCGCATCTTCTTGCGGGACCTCATTGGCCAGAGGATGCCTGGAAGCCGCTGGTGACGATGGGACGCTACTGTTCCAACCGAATGACGACGCAGTAGGTGATTCAGCTGCCGAGTGGACAGTCATGGACGAGTTTCTCGAGTGCCTTCCCAGGAACTCTCCGATTTCCACCGGCGGTGCTGATGAGTTCCAGTTGAACATGGCCGCACCCGAGCCTCCAAGTCGTCTGCCCAGGACCACGCGCCCGGTAATGGAGTCTTCTTCCATCCATCTCCTCACGGTCTGGGTAGTCTGCTCTCGAATTTGAGACCCGGCCCAGCCGACCCGCACATAGTTATCATCATCCCCCATATCGTGCTTCCGCATCGACCCGAAGCGGGAAATGAGGTACCATGCTCTGCGCTCGCTGCCTGAAGCAAAGGTGTCATCGATGATGACATCCGGAACCAGCTCCGGTTCGGTTGTGATAGGCGGCGTGTCTGGAAATAAGTCGTCGAGAAGGGTAAGATCAATAGGAAAGTGAAGGGTTGGTTTGTTTGATGCCCGAGATGGAGAACGTTCCACAGTCTCGTCCGGAAAAGTAGGAGCTGGTACTCCCAGACTGTCGACTTCACTCACTGCTGGCGCTTTGGATATCTTAACCTCCGATTCTTGTTGCCAGGCCTGGGATTCAGCGGCGAGTTCAGCCTCAGTGGGCAATGGCTGGCTGATAACCGGCTCTATAACGATTGCCGCATCTTCAGCAGCATTGCCCATCACTTCGACGGCAGCTGTGGGCCGTTGTTGATCCTCCACCTCGAAACTCCCTGGAACAATATTCGCCTCCTCTTCACGAAGGATATCATCAGCTGCCGTTGAAATCTCATGTTTCTCCTCTCCACAGACAACATCAAGTACTGGCGATAATCCAGTGTCGGGAGCAAAGTCTGGCTGTTCGAGCTGAATAGCCGGAATCACTGCATCGACAGCCGGCGCTTCCGGCGCGACTTCCGCATCCCATGCGCCCTCTGCCGCATCAATTTCCAACGGCGGCACCACGAGGGGAACGATATCACTCTTCAACTGCTTTCCTCTCTGCAAGCCCTGCTCTTCGCCAAGGCTGATTGCGGAATCTACAGCTCGATCGTCGCCCGACGTCTCCGAAGCTCTCCTCGCCCTGGGCTCCCGCTCTTCATCATTCTCCAGCGCCGCCGTCGTATCCAGTCGCTTCAAGGCCACCTCTTTCCAGGGATCCGGCGACAGAGACCTCACCGACGGCGCGACCTGCACCGGCTTCAGCCCAGGGCTCCTCCCCCATCCGGGGCTCTCCTTGCCACTGCCGCCGCCACCGCCGTCAGAAGCCGCACCGCCATTCCACCCGCCCCAGGCCTCGTCGTCCTCCCACCCCGCCGGTGACCGCGATCGCGACGGCGGCGCCGGCGAACGAGAGCCGCGGCGAGGGAAGAGGTGGTCGGCGGAGAAGTGCGCGTTCTGGGGCGCGCTTGGGAGCTCGATCCTGGCTGGAGACGAGTCTACAGCCCACGGCGAACCCCACGGATCTTCCATCCCAGGCGACTGGGCATGTCGCGCGGGCAGCGGTCGAGCGATTATGATAGTTGGTGCGAGGCGGAGGTGTTATTGTAGCGTGCCGGTCATAAGCTGGGTCGTTTGAACATGGCAACTCTGTGCAATTGCGGGCGGTAGTCCAATCTCGCTTCTCCTGAGACGACGGCTTTCTCAGGATGGATAGACTGAATTGTCGGAGGTTGTTGGATAGGTGGTGACGCAATCGAATAGGACAAAACTTGCAAAGACGACCTAGAAAGATTAACGAGGTTCTCGTCTCGGCGTCTCTTTACGCAGAAGAGCCGCGCGTGCTGTTTCAGTTGGAACAATGCTGGAGGGTTGCAGGAGAGAAGAGAAGGAGAAGCTGGAAAGGATCGAGTCAAGTCTGGCGTCTGCATGTGCATGAGGTGTGCTTAGCGCACCGCACGGACAGGGGCGTCTGGGGATCTGCTCTAGCGAATTGCTTGGTATTTCGGAAGCCCCGCGATTCGGCGATCTCTGGATGCTTGCAGATGCCTGATAAAAATCATGCACAACGCGGCAATTCACCAGCGTCAACTCAGGAGCGGTGTGATACGGCGTTATGCAGCTCCGAAACGAAATCGTTGCCCGGCTTGCTACATGTGCTCTCGAGATGCAACACGTGCCCAAAACTACGGCATCGTAAAATGTCTAATATACAGCCCTTCCGGTTATGCGAATCAGTCCCAGCCCGAAGCTCACAATCAGCTCGGGAAACCCCCAAGGCAACCGGGATGACCTGTCATCGTCCAAAGAACGCCATGCTAAGCTGATTTTCGTCAATCGTAACGCGAAAAATGTCACCAGCGTAACCCTCCCCAAGACAAGGCACCTCATAGCGTAATCTCATGGCCGGGCTTCAGCTCCCATTCCTTGGTTCGACCGGTGCCCTTCTTCTCCGCAACGTGTTCGATTGTGTTCTTGACTTCCAGCCGTGAGGCTTGATCTTTGAACTGGTGGAAGATGAAGTCGACGATGCCGACCTTTGAGAGAGCCTTGTTGTCCAGGATGGCCTTCTTGACGTCGTTCAGAAGCTCAGGCTTGACAAGCTTCCCAGGCGCCGAGTTAGGGCCACCAGCGCCTCCCAATGCGGCAAAGGCATTTGCAGGAGTAGGTACGAGAAGCTTGGCATCGTCCTCGGTTTTGATAGCCTTCGGTGCCTTGCCCTTGGCAGCCTTGACAGGCTCTGGTTCCCAGTACTTGGTGGAAAAAGGATCAATGTCCCACGGCTCATCGAGTCCTTCTAGAGAGATGGGTTAGCCCAGCCGCAGTCCAGCTCAAAGACAAGCAATAATAATCTCACCATGAATAAACTCCATCTTGTTCTCGCTCAAAGCCAAGACGGAGACTTTGCGGTGCTGGTTCTCGAAGCAAGGGCCCGTAATGTCCGGCTTTAAGGTGTCGGCAAACACTCTCCTAGAGAGGCCAACATCTTCAGAATCATCAAGGAACCCATCCATATCGTCTTCATCATCCAGCTCCTCTTCTTCATCCTCCAGGTCTAGATCCTCGCCCTCTTCCTCGTCCTGCCACTCAGCCTCCGAATCGTAATCGTAGTCGAGCGGTAGCCGACGGGACATGGATCTTCTCGCGAGTCTCTGCATGTTTCCTTTGCCGAGCACAAAGGGTTTGAAAGTGATGGTACCGTAATATGGCGGACGCACGTCTTGGGAGAAGGCAATCACTTTCAGGGGAATCTTCTTTAGACCCGTCTGGACTTCTGTGAAGATTCTGCTAGAATCGGCACTGCCCGTGTTCACTGAAACTTGAGTAGCCTTGTAAGCCATCTCCATGAGGTGTCGGACTGGCTGATGTAGTTTGCCACGGCGCGGGGGGCGAGCCGAGAAGGAAAAGGCCCTCACGGGGTCGAACTGGGGAGGAGCATCTTCGCTAGGCTGATTCGCAATATACTCGTCCAGGTTTTTGGATTTTGTCGCCCGGGTTGCCTCATCCATCTGTGATATCGCCGGTGCCAGTTGAGTGTTGTCTTTGACGAAAAACGGCTGGAACATCTTTGAGTATTCCGATACTGTTGGCTTCTCCTTGGCCGCCGATGAATTGGCCTTTGCGGGGCTATTCTCTCTCGTCGTCTCTTCTCCGTCGGGGTGCTTAGGCATGCTGGGGATTTTGAAGAAGCTGCCAAGTGTCTTCTGACTTCTCGCCTTTCGCTCTAATTCCTCCTCCTTCTTTCGTTTCTTTTCAGCCTTGATTCGATCCTCTTCCTCTTTTTGCTTTCGTTTCTCTTCTTTCTCCTTTGCTCGCGCCGTTTTCTCTTCCTCTCTTTTTGCCTTTTCTGCGGCCTTTTCCGCGGCCTGCTCCTCACGCTCTTTCTTCTTCTCGGCAAGTTCTTTGTCCCGCATCTCCTTCTCCGCCGCCGTAAGGCGTTTTCGCTTGGCCGGCGGATTCATGTCTGTGGCGGGTTTTGAGTCTGGTGCAGCCGCTCCAGAAGTGCTTTGGGCCTCAGCCGCTTTTGATGGTGATGACGGCAGTGGCAGATCGCTCTCTATGTCTTGGCGGCCAGGCGACGATAATGGGGAAGAAAGAGGTGCTGGAGAATGTCAGTAGTTTGACTTTTTGGGGGCGTGCAACAATTGTTGTATGCGGCAATGTGCTCACAGTCATTGTCCGGCTCTTGAATATCCACAGGCGCGATGTTCTTAGCATCCTCCACTGGATCAACCTTTGCCGATTCCGCGGCGAATTCATTATGCGTCCTCTTTCGACCCGAGGACTCGAGGTCTCTTGCGTTGTGTGAGACCTCGAGCAGAGGCATTGTCGCCGTTGATGTACTAGAATTCGTGTTTTCTGTCATTCACTGCACGGCGTTAGAGTCTAATCCTAGCAGTAGAGGAAGCCCTGGCGTTGCTCTCAATATGCATGCAGATAAAGGAGAGGGGCACGTTCAATTGGAGGCAGGGAAGTGGATCTCACCTACAAATCGAAGCAGCAGGCGAACAGTGAATATGAAACAGAGGGCAAGAATGACTTCAAGTGGTTTCTTCGAACGTGGAGAGGAAATCGACTCTGACGCTTGCAGTGAGGAGGATGCCGGGGCGGTGCTTTCGAAGCTGAGGTGTGTTGTACAGAATTGGATGGTTAGTGTGAGGTCGCGATTGCTCAAGTCGCGTTAATTTGGCGCTTTCCACTTTGACGCGTTAATCGGTGTGGAGAGAGAAGGAGCGAGCTGCCACGGCTAAAGATCGGGATTACTAACGGGGTCCGTTGCTCTTCAAATCGAAGCCGGCCTCTCAAGATTGACGAATTGACATGCACGGCTGAACAGAACGTCAGAAGAACAAGGCTTTTATGCTTCAACATTCAAATCCAGAGAGGGTGACATGAAGCTCTCGCGATGCATGTTTCTACAACAATAACTGCGCGCTTATGCTTCAAGCTGAGAGAGGATCTCTTACTATCAACAGAGTCTCAATAATGAGGAACTCCCACGACGAGATACGCAGATACCGAATACTAGTTACCATGTTGATGACAAGAACCCGAGTGCTCAATCTCAAGGCAGGACAAAGCAGGAAGGCGGTTTTACCCAGACCATACCAGCGAATATTCAGCTTCCCCGCCGTTTGTCTGTAAGTTGGCCAGCAAGGTGTCTGGAGTTGGCCAGGTTATGCGACCGCTTCCGCAGATCAATGACGACAGATCTGCCAAACTGATTCATGCAAACAAATTGAAAGCACGCTTCAAACGTTCCAGAAAACATCCGGCAAATGGATAAAGACAATCAGTGAAATCACCCGCCGGGAAAAGAAGAATATTACATATTAGCCATTACGTCATATTATCTTGTTTCTTTCAACTGCCCTCCTCAGGGCACATCAACTGTAAGGTACTTTTTCTCCCGTCTGTCCGAAGACTCTCTCTCCCGATCCATGCTCCAATCAGCGGCCTCGCTCAACCAGCAAGCTCAATTCCAGAAGCGAAGGTGTCAATGTGTAATACAAAGTAAACAAAAGTACGAGGCGTAGAAAGAAAGAGCCCGTGTTGGCGACAACGCTCCGCCCTTGCCCAAAAGCGATATAAACGTATCCAAACGCCTAACAATGCAGGTAGAAGAACAGTTGTGAAAGAAGGCGGATATGAAGAACAAAAAGAAGAGGGGCGCACAAGCGATCGGAAGGTTGTCGTTTCTAGTGGTGACGGTAGTATGCGAGGATGATTAAAGGTAACGAATGGCGGGCAGATAGGATGGCGTCGTGTGTCGTCGCATAACGATGATAGGATGTATAGGCGCAATATGTAAAGATGTGCGGGATGATGATGTTTAATCGGGGTTGGCGATGTAAAGGCGCTGGGACGTAAGGGTGGCTGTTCGCTCGTCGACGCTTCCTCGTCTCTTCAGCTCTTCAGGGGATTTGACGCTCTTTTCTCTCGTCAAGGCGGAGTGCATCAAAGACTTGCTCGCAAGTCTGGGAGCCGCTCCTAGTTCGCCAACGTTGTCTGCGCGCTCAGCGCTGCTTCCACTGTGTGTGCTCTGGGCTCTGCCGCTAGCACCGTCGTCGGTTATCGGCGTGCTGTCTTCCGGCTGCTCAACGAGGCTGCCAGCCCTCTCGGGCGTGTCGCCGGGACTCCATCGCCGGCCGCTCTGGGATCCGGTCCCGGTCACAGTGCCTCCGGAGGACCTGTAGGAGACGTTGCGGCGGCTGCTGCTTCCTATGCTGCTGCGTCCGCTGCTTCCCGTCCGGCGGTGGTGCGAACGCGATGCAAAGTCTTCCTCCCCGCTGCTCTCGCCCTCGACTTCGGTGGCGCTCAGTCGCATGGGCACGCCTCCCACGCCCACGTGGTTTTCGTTGGCATATCCGACAACGGGAGTCTTGCCGTGGTGCCGGATTTTGGCAGCGACCTTTGTGGTTGCGCTTATGCCCGTGCTCGTGCGGCCACCTGACGAGGATCCAGCCGAGCCACTTGCTCGGTTTCCGCCGCTGACCTCCAAGTTGGCGCGCATCTTGGCAGCCCGCTGCTGGGCAGCCAACCGGGGGTCCTCATACTGGGCGCGATCGCACCAGACTGTCGCCTTTTGCTTCCGCAAGAGGGCCACATAGCCCGACGCCTGGGCTTGTCCGAAGGAGCGGTTGGAGATGGAGCGGCGAAGATCCGAGTTGGACGATGTTCGGTACGCGGCGGCCGGCTGTGTGCTCGAGTTGTTGAAGGTGCTCACTGAGGGCGATCGCCGATTGAACTGCTGGGTCGACATTTGGTGCGACAGAAGCATGGGCGGGGGCTGCTGCTGTTGAGGCGGGAAGACGGAGGACGACGTTGTCCGCGAGCGGGAGTGGCTGTAGATGCTGCCCGGGTCCATTATCCTGTGCAGGAACAGCGACCTGAGGCAGACTCTCCCCTTGCTCGGGCGAAGCCGGGAAGCGGCTGTCGCGAGGGAGAGATGAGGATGTCTGGGTTGTCGTGCGCTGCTGTCAGCGGGGAGCAGGTCCGCGGGATCGAGTCTCCGCGGCACGAGTCCCGAACTGGCCGATGCCCTTGGCCGCGAGTCTCTGCAGGCGGCAAGAAAAGAAGAATAACGTATGAACTGTACCCAAGGGCAGCCAGAAAGGACACGCGCAGCAAGATGAGGGCTGCGGCGCGGATGATACAAGGTATGATATAATATAGGCCAAGAGGAGATGGAGGGAAAAGGTGGGAGGGAGGGTGAGATATTTGATGTGACCTTGGCGGGCGTGGAGCCTTGAAATGCTCCCAGCGGATTTAGCGCTGCCAGTCCCACTGCAGAGCCTAGAATGGGTGCAACGAACGAGCAACCTTGGACCGCCGGGTTCTGGGCAGCTGAACGCTAGCGGGCCTTGGAGAGGAGGGGGGGAAGAGACGGGAACCTGAACGGCTGCAGCAAAAGGGCCTGGAAGCTGGAGGCAAAAGGGCCCCAGTGCCAGTGCCGGAGCCGGTACCTGCACGTGGGTGGTGACGGCACCGGGGCTGATGTACATTTCGTGGGCTCGGCGAATTGACCACCAGTGGCGTCTTGGCTCGAGTTAATGAAGTCAACACTTCGGACTATTCAGTTGATACTTCACAACTGCGAGGTAGGCATGTCTTGAATTAGCGCCTTGTACAATATCTCGAGTACAGATCCCGTCATCCTCAAAGCCTTGAAGCATTCACTAAACTTATTGCATGTACAGAAAGTACTCGTTGACTCAGTGACATGCCAGGCATCATCTCAGAATGAATCGAGATGGACGAGATTGAGCACAGAGTGGCCCCCCTCCCCCTTCCCTTCGCTAGCTGCCCGAATGGTGAGAAACATCTGCAGCCCACGCGCGAGATGGCCCGCTCGCACCATGGCGTGTTTAGCGCTGGTGAAAAAGAGAAGGGAAAAAAAACTGCTAGTGTTGAGCTTACCTGGAGGACGGGAACAAGTGGGAATTTTGAATTCGGCATTTTGATGGGACAATGCCAGGTCGTGGAAGCAGAAAGAAGTTGAATCGACAGGGGAGGGGCTGTAGGCGATGACGATGATGCACGCTGAGCGTCGCATTCGGTTCAGGCGCTGCCTGTAGATGAACTGAACTCGCGAGTATAACAGCTATACTACACCACCAATTATTGAACAACAATGGGAGAAAGAAGGGCCTTGACAAACTGTCGGCGTGATGCATGCAGCTTACACAAAGTTGCCGTTCATCCTATGTATAGTAAGCCGTGTCCATATTTGGGCTTGGAGCTTCGTTTCATGCCACGTTTTCCTCCCCAATATCAAATCCAAATGACAATCTTGGACAGGTTTCCATTCCCGAATAGGCGCAATTTCCCCCCTCCGGGTACTTCGTTCATCAAACCTGGAAGCAACCCAGCAGTGCCATACCCCCAGACATCAAGGGGTCTTTCTGATTAAAGGCCATTGAAGCGTCCCGCGCCGTGTTTCAATCCAAATGGATGCTAGTTGAACAAGAAAAAAATAAAAAGTCGTCAAAAGCCAGGGCACCTAAATACGCCTCGGTTGCTACGTAGCAGCCCATCAGGGTTGTGAAGTCTGCCTTGCCAAGGGAGTCGGCCATTTTTTTGTGGTTCTCGCCATTTTCCCTCTCTTCAGTGGACCGTCGTGCAGCTAAAATGGAGAGTCCACTGCTGATGTCACCGGCATCGCCGGGAATGAAGAAGCATCGCAGCTGTAAAAACCTCCTTGTCCTCGAAGCCAGAAAAGAGGCGTACGATAGCAGCCGCCGTTGTTGTACGAGGTTTCTGTAGCACCGGCTCTCGTTAACCCCCCTCCTTCCGGACGCCTCGTGCGAGTAACAGCTCGTACCTGGATCTATAGGATCTCGTCGTCTCCCGGCTCTCGCCGGCAGATTAGCGCGCCATCTGCTGATTCCCAAGCACGAGTTTCGGAGCATCCAGGAGCGAACGTTGAACCTTGCCGGTTCTGCGGCACAGTCAGATGGAGAGAGAAGCCTCTCCGAAGAAGCCAGCGACGCACGGCGTGATGCTTTGCTGGCTGCCTCGTACGACGGAGCAGTGATAGACTTTTTCAGCGGCCAATTCGTCGGCACGACATGACACGGGCCGCCCGTTGTCGCTACCTTACACCGAAGACATGATTGATAGTCACCTATGTTGCTATCGAACAAGATTCCAGGCCAATTGCAGCCAAGCCATTGCCAGCACCGTGCCCATTCCTCTGGCAGAGTTCCGGGTGAGATCTTGCGCCTGCGGAGATGGACGGCCACAGACAGGAGTCCAACAATCGTGGAGATGAAATCTCACACCAGTGGGGCTGCATCCTCTGTGTCTCTCTCATCACACAAAAGA